AAGTCTGGTGATCAGTCCCTCCCCCCTGCTCTCAGGACTCTGGGAAGGTCACCAAGTAGCCCCTGAGACTCAGTTTCCCCCTTGGTAACACCAAGGGCCTGTGGCCCCAGAGACCCCAGCAACGAGCCATTCCCAATCCTTCACATAGTCCTGTCCAGTAGCCCAGCCCAGCCTGCTCCTGCTGTTCCTGTCCCACAGTGAGGCCTCAGGGTTCCTTGGCTGGTTCCTGCCTGGCAGGGACTTGGGCCTTAAAGATTAAGGTGGGGACACATGGGCTGGGCATGGTGGCTCACGCCTATAATCCCAGCACTTTGGGAGGCCGAGGCAAGAGAATTGCCTGAGTCCAGGAGTTCGAGACCAGCCTGGGCAACTTGGTGAGATCTCATCTCTACAATAAGTCAAAAAATAGGCCGGGTGTGGTGGCGTGCGCCTGTCATTCCAGCTACTTGGAAGGCTGAGGCGGGAGGATGGTCTAAGCTCAGCAGGTCGAGGCTGCGGTGGCCATAAGCATGCCACTGCACTCCAGCCTGAGTGACAGACAGTAAGACTCCAACTCAAAAAAAATAAAATAAAATAGAATAAGGTAGGGACACATATCCATCACACAATCGCAGTGTCTATGCCAGACAGGGATCTTGCCTATGCAGATGAGGTTTGTTGGAGGGGAGGTCTTGTTGGCAAGGAGACCCTGAGCCCCCTTCCACACCAAAAGGGTGAGGTGGCCCTGTGGGCTGCACCTGTGCTCTGACCATGTTGCCTCGCTTAAAACTCTCTCAGCAGCACTCATGGAATTGTTTTCCCTTCTACCAATGAGGAGCTGGAGGCCTAAGGCAGGGAAGTGACTTGCCCAGGGTCGCACAGTTAGTAGTGGCAGGGCTGGGATGGGCAGCTCGGCCCAAAACTTCCCAGCCACAGTGGGCCAGCGGGTGGGGTGGGACATGTGAGCACTGGCATCGACGAGTCTGCCTCAAGACCAAGGGTTGCTGGGCCCCGGGGGGCTCAGAGGCTCCTCTTCGGCTGCAGCAGGGAAACCTGACCCAATTCTGGCCCAAGCAGGCTTCTCTGACTCTGCTCAGGTCCAGAAACGCCCTTTCCAGGAGGGAGGGCCTGGGCTGGGGAGCCGTGGCGGAAGGCAAGGGCCAGGTCAGGCAAGCCCAGTCCACACCAGGCTCTGACCTATGGCACATGGGAATGTCTGGGAATGTTGTTAGTTTTTAGTTTGAAAAACCTGAATTTATTATGATTATAATTTGAGTCAGGTCTTACTCTGTTACCCAGGCTGGAGCAGTGGCATAAGGCTCAGGCCTCAGCCTCTCAAGTAGCTGGGACTACGGGCGGGTACCACCACACCCAGCTAGTTTTTTATTATTTTTTGTAGAGACGAGGTCTTGCTATGTTGCCCAGGCTGGTCTCGAACTCCAGGGCTCAAGCAATCCTCCCGCCTCGGCCTCCCAAAGTGCTGGGATGACAGACCTGAGCCACACTGTGCCCGTCCCCTGGAAATGGGACTGAAATCCTCTGAACCTCCTTCCCAACTGCAGGATGGAACCGAAACCCTGGAGGAGACGCTTGAAGAATCAGAGAGGTCCTGTTCACCCACGGTTCTGGGTGAACTGTGTTCAATCCACAGCCAGATGTGGCTGAGACACCCATCACACCTGCCCAGGCACTGGGTTTCACAGCTGAAACCACAAGGTCCGGTGCGGCGGGGAGGCTGGAGTGGGAAGATCGCCCTGGAGGCCTGGGATCCAGCTCCATTTCCTCAGGTGAGAGAGGATGGCTAGTCACTCAGGCTGGGCTGGGGACAGCAGACCCCACCGTGGGCGCTGCCCACTTCAACAGAATGGACAAAAACTTCAGGCCAAGGGCGAGAGGGGACCCACAAGAACAGGACAGTATATGGGGCAGGATCCCAGGTCTCAGACACCCAGCCCTGGTGCCTTTCCCCCAGGCAGGCACCCCTGGCACTGCCTACACCCTTGCCCAGGAGAACCAGGCCACCTGCCCCTCCCACAGGGCCTGTGCTCTGTCCACCAGTGTGGTCTGGGCCTCTGGCCACAGCGAAAGACTACCTTTCTCCCGCTGGTCCCAAGAGCGTGGGCTGCAGGTGTGACCACACAGTCCCCACCATTTTCCCAACGGGATTTCCCTCGGCCCACCCCTGGATGGATGGGGCTAAAGTCACAGCCAGAGGAAATGGCGGTGCAGAAGGCCCCCACCAGAGTCTGTGATGCCCTCCCATCCCCCTGTGGAAAAGCCCAAAGCAAAATCCTCATTCCAGGACGTGTGGGAACAGCAGGACCACCCGCAGGCACCAACTCTCCAGGGCCTGGGGCGAGGATTGCAGAAGCAGGAGGGGAAGAAGGGATCTCCCTGTACTTGGAGGGTAGCTTGAATCTGCAGACCCTCCTCCCCTTCTGACTTCTGGGCTTCAAGGCCAGCTCCTGAGACACAGAAATTTTAGCAGGCCAGGCTCAATGGCTTAGCCTGTAATCCCAGCACTTTGGGAGGCCAAGGCAAGTGGACTGCCTGAGACTGCGGGCTTGAGACCTGCCCGGGCAACTTGGCGAGACCTCGCCTCTACAATAAATCAAAAATTAGCCGGGCGTGGTAGCGCGCGCCTGTAGTTCCAGCTACTTGGAAGACTGAGGCGGAAGGATCGCCAGAGCCCAGCATGTCGAGGCTGCAGAGGCCGAGAGGTGTGACACTGCCCTCTACCCTGGGTGACAGAGTGAGACTCCAACTCAAAAAAAAAAAAAAAGAAATTTCAGCAGAAGGGACCCTGGGGCTGGGCATGGTGGCTCACACCTGTAATCCCACCAAAGTGTAATCCCACCACTTTGGGAAGCTAAGGCAGGAGGATTGTTCAAGCCCAGAAGTTTGAAACTAGCCTGGACAACTCTGCAAGACCTCGTCTCTACAAAAAATAAAAAAATTAAGCCAGGCTCGGTGGCTCAGCCTGTAATCCCGTGCCTTTGGGAGGCTGAGGTGAGTGGATTGCCAGGTTCGAGACCCTCCTGGGCAACTTGGCGAGACCTCATCTCTACAATAAATCAAAAATGAGCCGGGTGTGGTAGTGTGCGCCTGTAGTTCCAGCTACTCGGAAGGCTGAGGCGGAAGGGTCGCCGGAGC